AGAAGCGATGCCCTTTGCTCCTAGTAGCTTCTTGTTTCTAATAGCTTGCTGACAGGACTCAATCGACCTCTCTAAACGCTGCGGTACAAAACAACCCGTGATGTGCACGTCACCACTTTTTGGGGGACACCCCGCCCCTCACCTGGAGGACGACGTACATCTCGCCGATGTCAATCAAATTCCACCAAGCATACTCGTGCAGCCGAAAGGGAAGTTCCTATCCAAGTCCAGCACCGGGCAAATATGAAGCTTCAGCGAAGTTTCAGCAAATGATCGGTCATGGTCATGTTTCTCGAACAGCAAAAAGGGAATTAGCTGTCCTTTCAGATCCTTTAGATCTGCTATCGCTCTCTCTCTCTCTCTCTTCTCTCTCTGCGTCCCACGCGTCCCGCTTGCCAGGTGCCCCTTTCCCCTCCACCGCATGGCCCAAGACCCAGCGTGCGCACCCGACGGAGGGTCGCCAGAAAGCTCGCTGAGCGGTATTGCAATGTGGTGAAGGTCCGTGCAATGTCACCCACCTGGACACCCCGAGTTCAGCCAGCCAGCAACCAGGTGCCCCTTCGGGCTGGCAATCTTTGAGACAAGCTTCACATTGCATTTGATCGTACACGGACTGGAACTGAGAAGCATCCGGATATTGATAACATATGGGTGTCTCATCAGTCATCAGTAGAACCATCAATGAACTACTCTACCATTATTTATCATGATTTCTTCAATGCCTTTCCCATTACTGTGAACTAGTGGCTCATGGCCTCCAAAAACAGGCACCGTCTTGCCGGAAGTATCCTACGAGCTAGGACGCCCTGTCATGTGTAAATATTGCACAGTCTGCACCCGTGTCACATGTCCATTGACCATACAAGTCATTCATTCAACATGGAGAGGAAGAGAGAAATCGTCCAAGCTCCCCTGTTTTCCTCCGCGACATGACGCCTGGTCTTCTGAGAAGTAGGGAAACCGCAGGTCCAGCACCTCGGACACAAAGTCGAAGAGCCTGGCCAAGCCGCCAGAGTTGCTTCAAGGCCTTTCCACAAGTTGAGACAACTAAGGCTCTGCACATGGCCCAGCTTTGCTTCATGACCCATCTAAGCCCCCCTGCGGTCTCCCAGCCCCTCTTTTCCAGCACTTCGGCCATTGGTCCTTCGGTCCTTTGCCCGTGGGGGGGGGCATTTGGCACCCTTTGAGAAGCCCACCAGGATCGGTCGTCGTCAAGTCTTTCAATTCCAAAAGGCTCCCGGTTTCTCCAGCGCGGTCACTCTCATTCGGATGGGTTGTTCAACTCGATCTCGGCGAGGGGGGGCGCCTGAGATGGTCTTCCTTGCGCAAGGAAGGCCAGAGAGCATCAGTTTTAAGAAAGAATCAGGGCGTTTGCCAGCTGATTCCTACTCGTGATGCTGAGGACTAGTAGGCTGCTTGATCATCGGCCACGCTGAGGACTACACAGTCCAAGCACTTACTTCGGAGAATCTCTCACAGAACATGTGTGGTGGTGAGGTGGAATCCACACCCACCTGCACAGTCGCCTACTGTTGAGTCGCCTACTGTTGAGTTGCATGAAGAAGTGCGTCCATTAACAATGCAAGTCTGGACCCAAAATGTTGGATGATCATGCTGCCACAGCATTGGAGTCTTTAAGTTTGGGCTCCAAGAGCGTCTTCGTGGTGATGGGTGAGACGAGAAAAGTCTTTTTGGGTGTCGCCATGAGGGAAGTCTAGCTCTGCAACTGTCTCACGGAAAGTGATGGAATCTCACAGAATCTTATTGTCCATAAATCCAAGCACTCGCAAGTGTGTGTGTATATATATATATATACAGATTGGGAAGGCTTTTTGGTCCTGAATCTTACTCTCTTTTCTTTTCTATCCGGAAAGCAACCGAATTGACATAGGTGAAGGTGAAAACTGCCACAACGTCTATCAAAACTGCCCAAGCTTCAACGGACTCTTGAAGAATCCCCATCTACCAGCTGGGTGGCCTAAAAGGGATCCTATTGCCATATCCAAAAAGGACCCACTCTCCCTAGAATCCTGACACCTCTCAAGACGACGTTCTTCGCACGGGCGACGCTGAGCGCCGCTGTCTCAGGAATTGCCGATGAGCCTCAGTCTCAACCAAGGGGAATCCCATGAAGACCAATCCCCAAAAAAGGTTGAAGGTTATCCACTGACTCGGCAGGAGGTGCTGGTTGATCTGGTACTTAACCCACATTGATCAAACACTACTCCAAAGTGACCTCGAAGCGCCATTTGCAGAGACAACGATTTTTGGGTAGACAACCCCGACACTGAACCATCTGCAGATCCCTGCAGAACCAGCAGTTGTGTCTATAATCTACTCTGGCACCAGAGCCTAAGTCTTGTTCTTGGGCCCACACACCCGCGAAAATCGCCATGTTCATGAGACTCGCCCACCGCCAGTGCTTTCTGAGCTGCCTCTCCAGCAAATCTGGCAAGGCTTCGCCCCGGAAGGCCCGAACTAGCACCTATGGCAACAAGAAGGGTTCGAAGGGAGGGGACTGTAATGAAATGGGATGGTCCTTGCACACTCTTTCGTCTTTGAATCCGTAGGTCCATTCATTCACAAGCTGAACTCAGATCCTGTCTGTTCTTCACTCACATCCGGATGTCTGATCCACACACAAATATGCACCTGATCTTCATCAAAAGATTCCTTTTCAAGGGCTTTGCTACTCAATGCCATATGGTGTCTGATACTTTCCTATCCAGCAACCAAAAGCACATCGTCTTTCCCCTCACACCTCATCTCGCTCTGCCTTCTGCAGCACCGAACCTGCCCATGGGCGTTTTCGGGTTTACCCGTGGTTCAGGGTCCCTCTCTGCAGTCTGGACCCTGAGGTGGTTCAGAGCGAGTTTTCTGGGAGCTTCTGTGTTCAACACAGAAGGTCAATGGGCCAACATGAAGCATGCCTGGAAACCCAAACAACCAGAAGCAAATGGTTGTTCCAATCTATATATATATATACACATATACACTGTATTCTGTATGAAGCGGTATGTGTGTGTATACATATATATATATACATATAAAGAGCGGCTGCTTGGAAACATGCATTTGTTTGGTTGTTTGGATTTCCAGGTAGAACAGCCTCTTCTTAAGACTACTCAGGAAGGAAGACAAGCTGCATCAACATCAAAGCATTGTGGGTGGTGCAATATCCACCTTCTTGGGCGATTTTCGGTGTCACGTCTCCTCCAGCATGAGGAAAGACTGTTGAGGTACCCCCCAGCCCCCCCCAAGCACTGGGCGTTCAGCAGCTGCTTTCAATCGGTTTGCACGTTTCCAGACCCCTCGCCCCTAGGCACCAGGACCCTTACTTAAGAGTTCATCCACATTCGCTGGAGTAGGATGGTTCTCTTCGGTGAAACCAATGGAGCTCCGTTTCTGAGAAGGCTCTGGTGAACCTTAGGTTCACCTAGCAGCCACAGTGTCCCCTGCTGAGATTTCATCCTCTCTGTTCAGATCGATTCGTGGTTTGTTGCAAAAGGATCAGTTCGGCTTCTTGAGATGAGGGTCCCTCAAAAAATCGACCAGATGGCAGCTTGCATGCACAAAAAGGCGTTCCAACACAACAAAGGTCCAAATGGCAAGTCCAGGCCAATTCTATGTTATTTCATCTTCAGCCCAGCACCGAAAAGGGACGGTTCAAGAAAGATAGACTTCACCAGCCCACCAAACCCCAACAGGCCCCACACTCTCATCCGGTGTTGCACCCTCTCGCCTGCCGCAGCTTTGTTTAAAAGCTTCTCCACCTGCGCAGGAGCCGCTGAAAAGAGGCAGAGCGAAAAGAGCACCGCCGACGTGTCCTCGGAGCGTTCAGCACACAGCGCTCAACTGAGGTTGGCTGCTGAGCTGGGAGGAACGTAGATATCGCTGACCAAAAATGAGGCGCAATCTCCGATCTGACATCTTGTGGGCTTGGGATTGTATCTCTTTTCGCTGCGTATGTGGTTGAGCCGCTTGAGCTGTATGGTCATCCTACGTCCACCAAACATGGAGCTTGATCGCAGACTTTCTCAGACACCTGGCCACAGGGATTTCTAGATTGTGGTGGCGGCTCGACTTCCTTTAATTTCTGCGGGTTCATTTGATATATCATCTGTGTTCACCTCAGGCCAACTTTCGATCTACGCCTAAGCCGTTTTTCCCTCGCTCTTCTACCTCACTCTTGACACAAAAGAGTGGGGTTCCTGTCCGCTCTTGTTTGGTTCACAAACCAAGAGACGTACATGGGATTGCCCACCACCTCCTTCTTCAGGACGGACACGTCGCCCAGCAATCGAGGGAACTGGTAGAAGTCCAGCGGAGGATTCAAGGCAGAACCGCTCACATAACCTGGCATCAGTGCGGCAACAGGTTCTCAGGTTTGCGCCTTCCCATCACGTTGTGAATGCGGATAGTTTCAGATTGCAGGAGCCGAGTCCAGTCCAGAATTGGAAGTTGCCGTTGCAAAAGGGATAGGCTCGGATGAGAAACTACCCCCATGAGAAGCCGCTGAAGAGTGACTACTCCCCCAAGTCATAAGACAAGCGGAGCCTCTCCCAAAAACTGACCAAAAGCCAGTCCTGATCGGTGGAACATCTGGGCCATCCATGGCCATCCCAAACATCAAAAACGGCTCGACCGCTGCAGCGGCAAGCCGTTTTTGCTGCGGAATCCAATGAAAGAAGAGGCCAAGCCTTTGCACTGTGCATTGTTTGGCACTACGCCTGCGCTGAAAGCACCTGAGAGCGAGCACTCATGGGAAACGAATGAGAAACTGCCTTTGATCTTTATTCCAGCCTGATAGCAATGGCCTCCAACCTACTAGTTACTAGCAATGGCCTCCAACCCAACCTTGGGTGTGGGAGATGGACAGAATGGCCCGAAGGCAATAAGATTCAGGGCGGTCCACCCACGTTTCGACACCCCACCAGGGCAACAAAAGATGCCCAGCACTACTGGGCCAATTGCCCCATGTGTGCAAAGCTAATTGGCCCCGTTCTGCCGAACTCGATTTCCACGGGTCGAATGGTCATCGATTTCACCTCTTCTCACCAGCCCCACACCAAACCTAGTATCACTTAGGCATCTGTCATTCTCCAAAAGAACTTCCTAGGGAAACCCATGCTTGGAGGCCAAATCTCTCAGACCCACCAACCCACCCAGACATGCACAAGGCATCCCAGTCCATCGACTCTGGTGGTCAAGATCACTCTGGCCGACAGTTCAAACCGTGACGCCAAAGGCGTAGATCCGCAAGAGCTTCCCAGTGATCTCTGTGAGTGCCAATCCCAGGACCTCATGGGGGTGACTCGTTGATTGGGGGCTGCATGTATCTTGTAGCTCAAAGCACGAGTTGCCAGGATTTTAGGATGAAACTCGAAGTTGCGTTTCCATCTTGGTACACACACATGTGTGAACTGAATGAAATGATTTGGCAGCTGATCAAGTAATATAAATCAAATACATCCTGTCCAGTCAGCCAGGATCAACCTCAAGAATCAAGAAAGATTCGTGCACCCTCAGCTTTGCCAATCTTCCGTTCCCAATACTGTCTATTCTGTGTGTCAATCTGTTCTGGGAGACTCTACAGATCAGCAATGAAAGACGCTTCCTCGTCCACTGATGGCCGTCCAGAACTCAAGCAATCCCATTTCAATCAGAAGATCTCCCCCTGCCTCGTCCACTGACATGTTTTCTAAGGCTTCATTGCTGAGCTTGCCAGCAGCCTTGATGTCCTCCACGCACACAGTGGCCATGTTGGACCTGCCCAAAAGGAGCGGTTTTGATGGGGCGCGTGCCGCGCCCCATCGAAGAAGGAAGGTGTGCATCAAAGTGCCACCATTTGGGGACGGGTTCTGGACGTATGAGGTGAATCTTTGGCAGAGTTTGCACACATTCTGATGTCAGCATGTAGGTAGTTACAGATCTTGCCAAGGCTTGAGAGGGTCACCCCACTCTCTGACCAAACCCAGATGACAGTGACCAGTTCGT